ATGTTGTGATCAACTTTACTCCTCTTATGGATCACGGTCCCTATTACTGGCGTATAAAGAAAATGAAGAGGCCACTATGGAAAATATCGAAATTCAACATTGAGGAACGTCTACGGATTCGCAGCCACCGACGAAGAGATGTAAAACCTTTGCTGTCGCAATTGTGATGCAGAAGAGTACTTTTCACGGATTGGAAAATATTGTGAAATGCGTCGATGCGTACTTAAAACCTTTACAAAGCGTGACCGATAATGTTAACAAATGCACGCAATATCTTATAAAAGAAATAGAATTAAATCTTCCAAAAAGTTACATAGATAGCGATATTGTAAAACTTAGTTTGAAAGGAAATTATCACGAAATGTACGTACGCAATGTATGCGCAATGTATGTACGTAAATAAACAATTTAACATTTCTGGATATGTATTTCGATATAATATTTGTGGAATTAACTTCTCTGAGATTTAATGAAATTCTTCGTATTATTTTCTCAAATCATAATTTGTAACTTTTATTTATGAATTGATATAATGTACAACAATATAATAATAAACTTAATGATTTTGTAACTTAAATTCCTGTCTTTTCCTTTCTTATTTTCTTTTCACTCCAACCTAAAAATTAATGCGCTGCGTTGCTTCGAGCTAGAAATATCTAAAAAATTTTTCAGACATTGCATTTGTTATAGAATAAGAGCTTCATATAGCTCCTAGTTCGTTAGAAAAACATTGAGTGCGAACTTGTTCGTTCCTGTTTTCCTATCGCTTTCCATTCTCGTCAGGTCAAGTATATTCTCTTCAGACTTCTCTCATCTTTCTTGTTGCAGATATCGCCTTATTGAATCCTGAGCGGTCTCGAAACAAATTTTTAAGTTTCGCTAGCTATTAGGCGTCGAGAAACATTCCGTCTTAAGAAAAACTCGATTTACATCCCATATATACAAAGTAACAAATTCCCATATATACAAAGTAAATTCCTATTTTCGGGACGTTCTGCGTATCGTACCGCAAAAAATCTTTTTCCATTAGCGCCGGGGTCGAGCATATTCCCTTCAGACATTCGTCATTCTTCTTATCATTGGCGCCATTTTGTCGGATGAGCGGCCCCGGAACAAATTTTAATAGTTTTTCGTTAGTTATTAGATTTGGAAAAAAATCTTTCGTCTTAAGAAAAATGTGTGATTTGTATCTCATTTATACAGAGAATCAGTTTCCTTCGATCTAAGATGTGTATCATACCATAATTTCGCATTCCGTTCTCGTCAGGACAGGCATATTCCCTTCAGGCGCTCGTCATCCTTTTTAT